GACGCACTCACTCCCCTCCATACACTCAAGTGTCTCTCATGTTTACGACCTTAACGACTGGGCATTGATTCGCCACATAGAGACTCAAGTGTGTCTCTGTATCGAGCAGTACTCTGATGCATGTCAGGTGGAGAGGGGGGGGGACATGCTTCTACCTCACTATAGGCCTATGTGGCTGTGGAGGGGGTTGGGCTGGATGACCCCCCCCCCCACACAGGTCTTCAACACTACTCATTAACGTGGCGCATCATACGATAAGGACGCCGCAAGAGGCTTAAGAGAAGAATGTTACATCGAGAAAATCAAGCCATTATAAAGTTTCTTATGTAATTATCTGGGAGTTTTTGGCGTGGATAGCGATTAGCTTAAGACCGGCGGTGTCACGGAGCGGAAGCCGACCTGCCTCCAGCAAGCAGGCGACCAGCACGCACCTCCTACTCTCTCCCTCTCTACCTTAATGTCAAAGGTAAGCGGAATACTGTTATGGGGAGGAGAGGCTGAGGTAAGACAACGGTACTGTGTACTCTGTGTTCCTTCACATCATAATACTTGAGCAACCTTTCTCTCTCCAACACCCCCACTACACCAGTTGACTGGCAGTTGAGAGGCGGGACCAAAGAGCGAGAGCTCAACCCCCGCAAGCACAACTGGGTGAGCACGCACGCACGCGCACACACACACACACACACACACACACACACACACACACACACACACACACACACACACACACACACACACACACACACACACACGTAGGGGCCTCGTAGCCTGGTGGATAGCGCGCAGGACTCGTAATTCTGTGGCGCGGGTTCGATTCCCGCACGAGGCAGAAACAAATGGGCAAAGTTTCTTTCACCCTAAGTGTCCCTGTTACCTAGCAGTAAATAGGTACCTGGGAGTTAGTCAGCTGTCACGAGCTGCTTCCTGGGGGGTGTGTGTGTGTGTGGTGTGGGAAAAAAAAAGAAAAAAAAGAAAAAAAAGAAAGTAGTTAGTAAACAGTTGATTGACAGTTGAGAGGCGGGCCGAAAGAGCAAAGCTCAACCCCCGCAAAAACACAACTAGTAATCACACACACACACACACACACACACACACACACACACACACACACACACACACGAGACAGTGGTGGAAGGTGTTGGCCCTCATAAGCTAGCCCAAGTGTGGACATATTTCCCCTCTAACCTACCCTGTGGACCCATGCCAAGAGTTACCCTCCACGACGCTAACATTAAAATAAGTATTGACATATACAAATTACGACCACTTATTAGAATGTCAAAATGCAAACCACAAAGATGCTAGAAAAATATACTAAACACAGAATAAAGTATAATAAAACTAAACATTTACTCAACAGTTCAAATTTAAATAACAACAAAATTAATGTACCCCAAGTTTTTGTAGCCAACATCCACAACAACAACAACAAACACAAAAATTATTTGTTAAATAAAGTGGAGGAGGGCAGAAAATTTTACTTTTATTTATTTTTTTAATATTGGGGACAGCGCCAAGGCATTACGACTTTATAGCACTTGGAAGAGATCAGGATAGGCTCTTGGGATTGGACCGGGGAAAGGAATGGTGCCCCAACCACTTGGACGGTCGGGGATTGAACGCCGACTTGCATGAAGCGAGACCGTCGCTCTACCGTCCAGTTAAAGTGGGTGGGTAGGAGGGCAGGAAGGCACCAGCCTCCCTCCTCCTCTGCATAAGACAACCTGGTGGAGGTAATGCCAGCAGGCCAACTGGCAGGGCTGCACGTCTCCCAGTTTGATACATTAGGCCACCAAGTCTCACTCTCACAGCCCCGGCACTCCAACCACCACCATCATTGCTCACAAGCAATCCAGCTGGGATGGCCCCACTGCAGACCGAACAGCTGCAGTGTGCCGAGGTGTTGCAACAATACCATGCAACTTTGCTCGCCTCACAACAGGAGCAGCTAACTATACGGGTGACTTCCTATTAGCAACCCCAGTGTCAGCAATTGGCATATTTCACACACCGGAGGCCTTCCGAACTGCAGCGGCTCTCCGCCTTCCTGCTCCAATCCACACCGAATATTGGTGTACTTGCGGTGAGGTGGTGGCTGACAAGTTCGGCCTGCATAACCTGCTCTGTCAAAGTACAGGGGATGGCACTCGAGGCACTGTCAAGTTTATGATGATATTAAGAGGAGCCTTACCACAGACGGATGTCCAGCAGAGAGAGAGATAGAGAGCCCTGTAATCTAATGTCCCACAACTCCGACGAGCCTGTTGGTCACCCAGATGGGATCACAGTGAACCCCTAGAGATCAGTAGATAGTTGGTGTGGGGCTACACGTGGATATCAATCCTGGCTAACACCTACATTGACTTCGTTGTTGAGAACTGGAGGAACGCGACAGCCTGTAACTACTAACTTTGTACCTTAGATGTAACCAGAATTGTAACTCATTTTGTGTAATAACTTTTCAAATCGAATAACTACAAATATATGAGTGGTAGAAGACAACATGTGAGCGCACATCAACGCCCTACAATGCTTCCCGGGTGCTGCATGTTCTCTTCTTCGAGCTTGAGGGTCCCTAAAACACAGCCAGAGGCGGTCTTAAAATATATTAAAAACATTACATTTATTTCTTTATTTCTTTATTTAGAGAGAGAGGAGGAGGTATAACATTGTGGCGGCCATCACGACAAGTGTGCGTGACGAATAATTAATAATTAACCAAGCTCGATGATGCAAAAATTATTAGCAATTAAATATAATGATCATATTTTTATACCTTAACAAAACACGAACCACAAGAGACTCAATAAGTTAAAGAATACACCACCATCCCCACCCCTGTCACCACCACCAGTACCACTACCAGTACCACTACCAGTACCACTACCAGTACCACCACCACCACCACCACCACCACCACCACCACCAGTACCACTACCAGTACCACTACCAGTACCACTACCAGTACCACTACCAGTACCACCACCACCACCACCACCACCACCACCACTACCACACACCACCACCACCACCACAGCCACCACCACCACCACACACCACCACCACCACCACCACACCACCACCACCACCACCACACCACCACCACCACACACCACACACACCACCACACACCACCACCACCACCACACATACCACCACCACCACCACACCACCACCACCACCACCACCACCACCACCACCACCACCACCACCACCACCACCACCACCACACCACCACCACCACCACCACCGCCACACACCACCACCACCACCACAGCCACACACCACCACCACACACCACCACCACCACACACCACCACAGACAGCCGACACTACGACTCATAAGATGTGGTCGAGGCAGGTCACCCAAGACGTGTGGTTAACACAGGTACAACTAAACATCTGGGCGACACTTACACCTGTCCTCACCACCTGTCTTGTTCACCTCCACTTGTTCTTCTTGTTCACCTCCACTTGTTCTTCTTGTTCACCCCCACTTGTTCTTCTTGTTCACCGCCACTTGTTCTTCTTGTTCACTTGCAGTGTTAGTTCATTAACTGTAGTTAAAACCTGTGTCAAAAAAGCAGACCTGGTCCTCACTCACCCTCCGCCTCATACTCACTCATCCTCCTCACTCACCCGCCGCCTCATGCTCACTCACCTTCTAACATGACCCACGTTTACAAAACTATGGATAACATTAAAATTAATGAAGTACTAACATTAAGAAATACACACGAGGAAAAATATGTGTATTGTATGGTACATCTGGCAGGAAGGTGAGTGTGCCCCCCCCCTCACACACACACACACACACACACACGTGACAGAACCCTTCCATCACATTCCTGTGAATCTGTCACCCTCATGATCGCAATGAAATGGGACAGACCTTCAAGATATCCTTCCCATTTCACTGCGGTCTGTCCTCATACCTATTATGATGAGTGTTGTGTGATCATCAGTTGCATGTAAGGTGAGGAAGCCCTAATCCAGTAGGACCACGTTGCAAGAATAGCGCAGTATACCCGAGAGAGAATCTGAAAGATGTAGTCGATGGTACCCAATGAAGCTGAGAAGATAGTACTTACAGCACACAGGTTGTTTGGTGAAGACTTGTCATAGGTCATTACAGATCACTGGTTGGGTCATTACCTAAGGGGGGGAGGGAGAGATAAGATTCAATACTGACAAACGCATTAGTGGCTCCATCAGTCTCCCTTTAAGTGACTTAACTGACATCAACTTTCACACTGAATCTTAACTGTTCAGAATCAGTTGATGTAGAGAGAATGAGCCCAGAAACTGAACTCAAGAGTCCAAGAGTCTTGAGTCGACTCACTCTTCGTCTGTTGCAAGTGTACCTTCTTGAGGTTCAGCTGGACGGGCTGGACGGTAGAGCGAAGGTCTCGCTTTATTCAGGTCGGCGTTCAATCCCCAACCGTCCATGTGGTTGGACACCATTCCTTCCCTCCGTTCCATCCCCAATCCTTATCCTCATCCCTTCCCAGTGCTATATAGTCGTAATGGCTTGGCACTTTGTCCTCATAGTTCCATTCCATTGTAGAAGAAATGTTTGTATGAGAGAGAGAGAGAGAGAGAGAGAGAGAGAGAGAGAGAGAGAGAGAGAGAGAGAGAGAGAGAGAGAGAGAGAGAGAGAGAGAGAGAGAGAGAGCGGATTATTTCTTAAATATCTAAGTTGTTATATACCCAGCCAGGCCAACATGACGGCTCTCTAACACTTCAAGATCCGGGACCTACCAGCCACAAGGACGTGCTCCAGGGTGTCGTCGCCAGTGTAGGGTGTCAGGGTGTAACAGGTTCAGGGTGTCGCCAGGGTGGGTGTGTGAACCCCCCCCCCTCCCCCGAACCACGCCCACACACTCTGCACCGCCCACATCCCCCCCCTCCCCCCTCCCACATACTAACCCCATAATTCACTCACAGTTCTACACAATGGCAGCTTTTTTTCACCATTTGTCCTTAGCCCCGGAAGTATGTCTTCCACGCCGTCACGAAGATGTGCAGGGGTCAAGAGTGTGTTTGTGTCAGTCTTCAAGTCATTCGTGGAGGAGGGTGTGGCGCCTGGTGTGGCGCCTGGTGTGGCGCCTGGTGTGGCGCCTGGTGTGGCGCCAGGTGTGGCGCCTGGTGTGGCGTACCACCCTTCAATACACCTGGTACTCTTACCTGTAGGCCCAAGCAACAACAGTCTGGTCGGTCACACCGGTTACCACGTAGAAGTTCTGTGAAAGACAAGAGTCCGCTGCGCAAGTAATAATCATCATTCAGTGTACCGGGCCTCGCCACCACCAGTGTACCGGGCCTCGCCAACACCGGTGTACCGGGCCTCGCCAACACCGGTGTACCGGGCCTCGCCTACACCGGTGTACCGGGCCTCACCAACACCGGTGTACCGGGCCTCGCCATCACCGGTGTACCGAGCCTCGCCACCACCAGAGTACCGGGCCTCGCCAACACCGGTGTACCGGGCCTCACCACCACCGGTGTACCGGGCCTCACCACCACCGGTGTACCGGGCCTCGCCATCACCGGTGTACCGGGCCTCACCAACACCGGTGTACCGGGCCTCACCACCACCGGTGTACCGGGCCTCACCACCACCGGTGTACCGGGCCTCACCACCACCGGTGTACCGGGCCTCACCACCACCGGTGTACCGGGCCTCACCACCACCGGTGTACCGGGCCTCACCACCACCAGTGTACCGGGCCTCGCCACCACCAGTGTACCGGGCCTCGCCACCACCAGTGTACCGGGCCTCACCACCACCAGTGTACCGGGCCTCACCACCACCGGTGTACCGGGCCTCACCACCACCGGTGTACCGGGCCTCGCCACCACCAGTGTACCGGGCCTCGCCACCACCAGTGTACCGGGCCTCACCACCACCGGTGTACCGGGCCTCACCACCACCAGTGTACCGGGCCTCGCCACCACCAGTGTACCGGGCCTCGCCACCACCAGTGTACCGGGCCTCACCACCACCAGTGTACCGGGCCTCACCACCACCGGTGTACCGGGCCTCACCACCACCGGTGTACCGGGCCTCGCCACCACCAGTGTACCGGGCCTCGCCACCACCAGTGTACCGGGCCTCACCACCACCGGTGTACCGGGCCTCACCACCACCGGTGTACCGGGCCTCACCACCACCGGTGTACCGGGCCTCGCCACCACCAGTGTACCGGGCCTCGCCACCACCAGTGTACCGGGCCTCACCACCACCGGTGTACCGGGCCTCACCACCACCGGTGTACCGGGCCTTACCACCACCAAAGTAACACATGTACCACACCAGAAACAACACAGAACAATTACCGACACAAGAGACTAGGCTGCGGAGCTGAGCCAATCAGGAGGGCGAACAAAGCAATACCTGACTCAGGTCGGACCAATAAGAGCCGGGCCAGCGTATAGCGGCCAGATTACAGATATTGGAGGCACTCCCGGCCAAGTATTGGCACCGGTGGATGGCAGCCATTAGGCGCAACCATCAAATTACCCAGAATGGTTGCCGGTCCTGTCTAAATGATTACCATCCTCGCTACCAGCAATAACCCTTCAAGCCGGTACCTGTGTGCGGGCCCGCATGCACACACGCACATACGCAATGTGTACACACACACGCATATACGCAATGTGTATACACACACACGCACATACGCAATGTGTATACACACACACACACACACACACACACACACACACACACACACACACACACACACACACACACACACACACACACACACACACAATATACACACATACGCAAAGCTCACACATCCATATTTGTGGCAGGAAATTCAATACACATATATACATTGAACTGGGACAAGAGCTTATGGTAATATGTGTAAGTATGAATGAATGCCCATCACTGGTATGGTGTGAGTAGGCACTTCTGGCTGGGCCTTGAACACGGTAGGAAGGTAGGATGTGCCTAAACTTTAAAGCTGACTCTTGATACATGAACAAGTGGCTGATGTGCAGTGCTTGGGCTATGTCTGATCTCTTATTGTCTTTGTTTCTATCGATTATTTTAGCGTTGCTGGTCAGGGTATATCTGGTGATGATCTGGTTGTGTTCAGAAATGATGCGGTCTTTGATAGGCTTGTTGTTTGTGGGCTATTAGGCCTGCAGGTACAAGCTCATCCGACAGTCTACAACCAGCTTACTCTTTTGATACGTCCTCCCACCCACAAGACCAAGATAGAACCGCCAGCTCCCCGCACCTATACTGCCTCTCACCACCAATGTTGAAACGAGGCACAAGTACCATTTACTGGAGCCAGTTAGAGGCTTAGGGCCCGCATAGGAACATAAAAAAAACAAAAATAAACAATAGGAATGTAGGGCACGCTTACCCATTTTCCCTCGCGACTGGGTAGCACCCGCCCTTACCCTACATGGACTACACCCTTACCCATGATGCTGCGTGTCCACGTCCCTCTACCTCACAAGATGCTCAACAGATCATCGGCCGCGTTACCAACACCTCGCATGGGCCAATTATATTTTAAAATAAACTTTGCAGTTATTTTTTCTTCATTTTCAAGTGAAGAAAAAATGTATGAAATTTTGAAAAGATTCGTGCCGAGTTGTGTGTGTGTGTGTGTGTGTGCATGATGAAGTATGTGCCGTTCTCAAGATGTCTCAAGGAAACACAGACTAAACAAATCATCTTAATTCACACAGCGACACAGACATCGTCTGTATCAGTTATTCTTTGTACGTGTTAACGAAGTCCTCGCCCCCCCCCCCACCTCCCTACCTCCTCTACCATTTAGTTTCATAAATTACACCATCGTGGACACCGGAAATCCATCATGTCAAGTATTTCCTTCAACCTCTTAATTTTCTGGAGCAAGAGAGACGTGTTCAACACCTGAGTGATCAGTCAGTGAGGGCCACAGCAGTGTTCAACACACGTGTTGGCCCGAAACGCTGTGTGTATTACTGGTTTTAAGTATTTTATGTACTAGCTCTATCTATAAACCCAACATTAGGTTTGTAACTCATCTTCTATGTATGTAAAACTATGTACTTTTTACATGAATGATCATTTTGATTTTGATTTTTGATTTGTGTTGGCCTCCAGTTCCGCCTTCTGCCCTCCGCTAGGACAGTACACAAAATGCCAGATATTATACTCAGGGTTAATAAAAAATAAAACTTCATTTATTTCACTTTGACCACAAATCCCACTATAAATCTTCCAGTCAGTCTTTGCGGCAATCATCTCTTCTTTAGTCGCTACATTAAGTATAGTTTAAAAGCAAAATCTAAATTAGAAATTTAGAAAATAACAGGTCGATTACGTGAGAGTGGAGCATCTAGGAGGGCCAAGTCGGCCGAGCGGACAGCACGCTGGACTTGTGATCCTGTAGTCCCGGGTTCAATCCCGGGCGCCGGCGAGAAACCATAATAATAACCATATATAGGCCATAATAACCCACCAGACGTTGAGTTTCTTTCACCCTATGCTCCTGTTACCTAGCAGTAAAATAGGTACCTGGGTGTTAGTCAGCTGTCACGGGATGCTTCCTGGGGGTGGAGGCCTGGTCGAGGACCGGGCCGCGGGGACACTAAAGCCCCGAAATCATCTCAAGATAACCCCCGGACCGTCCTCGCTGCGGTAGCGGTCCACCTCCCTAATATTCCCCAACTTACAATCCTGAACAAAAATTTTATAAAATAAAAAGAGTTCAATTCGTTCACCCTTCAGCCATGGCCACCGTAAACGGGCCTGCCAGCTGATCAGGGGCCAGATTCACGAAGCAGTTACGCAAGTACTTACGAACGTGTACATCTTTCCTCAAACTTTGATGGCTTTGGTTACATTTATTAAACAGTTTATAAGCATGAAAACTTCCCAATCAACTGTTGTTACTGTTATAAACAGCTTCCTGGTGCTTCGGAGCTCACTAACTGTTTAATAATTGTAAACAAAGTCGTGAAAGATTGAGAAAAGATGTACAGGTTCGTAAGTGCTTGCGTAACCGCTTCGTGAATCTCGCCCCAGGTAGTTTTATCTGGGATGAATGTTGAGTAGTTAGGTAGTGTGTCTGTATACGTGATTAACTGTACTTGCTAATTGTTCTTGTTGGGATTCAGCTTCGGCTTGTAGTTCCTCCCGTTGTTGTTGTTGTTGTTTAAGATTCGCTAATTTGAACAAAAAGTTCCAAGTAGCACGGGCTATGGTGAGCCCGTAGTGGACTTGGTTCCTTCGGTTCCCTTATCCCTCGCGTGTAAACAATTATAAGCCTCCTGGGCTGTGTCATATTGACACATAAAGCTGTGTCTGAGGTCTACCTCCACCACTTCACATCTTAGCACATTCCAGTTGTTCATTACTCTGACGCTGGTGAAATTATTTTCATCAAGATCTCTTTCATCAAGAAACAAGAACAAGATCTCTTGATCTTGCTCTACTCATTCCAAATAATCTTGTGTCTTCCAGTCACGCGACGTTAAACTCCCGCAGCCTTTCCTTTTAACTCATACCACTGTTTCATTGTTTCATTACACTGTATTTGAGTTAAACTCTAGTAGCCATTTATTGAAGCAATCTCTCAGTTTGTCAGGATGATCTTGTAGTGTCTTAATCCTCCTCATAACATTTTCATCATCAGCAAGCATTGAGAGCAATGACTATTTCCTCTGGACGATCATTTACATATAACAGGAACAAGATAGGTCCGAGTGTGACCCCTGTGGGACTCCGCTAGTGACCTCTAGCCACTCTGAGACCTCACCCTTAACAGTGACTCTCTCTCTCTCTCCTGCTCCTTGGGTACTCTTCCCTTAACCGCTGGAGCACCTTCCCTGTCACTCTTCCCTGCATGCGGTCCTGCCATGGTACGACGGGCTCACCATAGCCCGTGCTACTTGGAACTTTTTGTTCCAGGTAGCGAATCTTTAACAACAACAAGTAGCCATGAAGGTATTACCACAGCCAGAGAAGCTCATTAGTGCCTAACAACCAAACCATCCCTGACCTCATCCCGGCCGGAGCCATTTAAACAAGCCGCCCCTGCACCTCTCTTCCCAACACATAGATATAATTATCGGTCAGCCATAGCATTATACAACCATATTATCTCATTATACTCATTATACGCCCATCACCCACCACACGCTCGCCCAACCACACATAATTACCATTACCCCCCCCCCACCCCCGAGTTATCACTCATTTGCATACTAAGAATACCACGAGATGGGAGGGTGTGGGAGGGAGCATGGGAGGGTGTGGGAGGGAGCATGGGAGGGTGTGGGGAGGGGGGGGACGTGGAGGATGGCTGGGTGGGAGGGCTCGTATTTTTAGTGATTTGATAGTTCAAATGGATGGGAATGGCGGGTGGGAGTGTGAACCAGGTGGGTGGTAGATTGGTTACGGAGCTGAGGGGATTGAGCTATGAGGAAACCCGAGAAAACTGGACCTTACCACATTCGAGGAGAGGAGAGATAGGAGGGAGGGAGGGACATGATACCAACATACAAGATTCTCAGGGAAATTGACAAAGTAGACAAAAAAATAGCATTTATTCAATGTTGGTTGACTGTAGCTTGCCAGGACCTAGAACTCCTGGGAAGTATATAACCTGATTAAGGAATTATTGTCACAGGAATGAGGTGCAACAGTGGACGAGATTAACATCACACACGCTGCGTGTTCTTTGTGTTGCAGGTGATTATGCCCGGCTTGATCTCATTATGGCTACTAAATGGCTGAGTGCAATGGTTTCCTCGGAGCCAGTGTTGTGGTAGTCGGGCTGTTGGTGAGGCTATAGTTGACACACACGTGTCACTCTTAGAGAACACTGACTTACCCTTCACACTTTGTTTCTTGTCCGGATGCTGTCGGACCTGTCTCCCAGACGCCCTCCCACAGGTGCCATAACACCCTCTAATGATCCACCTGCTCTGCCAGCCGCTGGACTCAACCAGTTGGTAATGGATGGTCCTGGCGCCACAGACACCGGCGCCGCAGACCCTGGCGCCGCAGACTCTGGCGCCACAGACCAGCGCAGCTTAGCAACGCCGCCGCGCTCCGCCCTTTGCTGCACCACCGCACTAATTATTACTTGAACAGGGGGAAACAACCGCTCTGCAATTGCTAATCGGCAGGTTGCATGGCCATCAAAGCACCCGCCTTGTTCATCTGTTGCTGCTGCTGCTGTTGTTGTTGCAGCTGCTGTTGGCGACAATAACACAGCTGTTGCTGCTAAAGCTGTCAGTGGTCTTAGTGTTACAACTGTTAGTGGTGTTAATGGTGCTCAAGTATACAGGCGTCCCAGGTGTTGATGCTGACCAATGCTGCTGTGGGTGTTAAAGAGATGCTGTCGTTCCATTAATGTTCCATTACCCGTCGTGGTCGGAAATACACACACACACACACACACACACACACACACACACACACACACACACACACACACACACACACACACACACACACACACACATTCTTATCCATGTTTGCTGGCGATGCTAAGCTAATGAGGCGAATCACAACTGAGGAGGACTGCAGTACATTACAAGATGACCCAGACGGTGTCAAGAGATGGTCTGAGAAATGGCAACTAGACTTTAACCCTGACAAATGCAAGGTTATGAGGATAGGAGATGGGATCAAGAGGACCTCGGTTACAATACAAGATGAAGGGAAGGCAATTTCCAACTTCTGAAAAAGAGACTTAGCAGTGGACATAACTGGAGACGTAACACCAGAGGCGCACAGACCAGCGGAATAGCAACGGCAGCATGCGCAATACTGGCACATGCTGCCTTGTTATTATGATATCTTGCCCCTCTCTTCTTCCTGCCTGTTATGTCATGACCCCCAAGTACATTCATGACCCCCAAGTACTTTCATGACCCCCAAGTACTTTCATGACCCCAAGTACTTTCATGACCCCCAAGTACTTTCATGACCCCCAAGTACTTTCATGACCCCCAAGTACATTCATGACCCCCAAGTACATTCATGACCCCCAAGTACATTCATGACCCCCAAGTACATTCATGACCCCCAAGTACAACTTTCCCCCGTTGATGTTTGCAAATCCTGGCCTCAAGTAGATCATTATAAAAGTCTAGAGTTGAGTAAAAGTCTTTAAGAAAAGTCACTAGTTTACTTAGTCTACATGACACAGCTTTATATATATACAAAATTTACAAGACCACAACAAAGTTCTCAATTAATCCAAGTGTGTTTAAGCACTAATCACAGCAGCTAAATGTTGCCACTTGCTGCTGTAACACCACCTACTGGGGTCCTCCACCATACCCACCCAAAACACTGGGGTCCACCACTATAAGGGCCTGTCGGCTGAGTGGACAGTGCTCGGGATTCGTAGTCCTATAGTCCCGTTTTTTGGGAGGGGAGGGGGGGGGGGGACGTAACCAGAGTTGTAAATGACGTCACTAGATAGCTGGCAATTCCCATCCACAGTACCTCACCTCTCTTCCCCCCCTCTCCCGTCTCCCCCCTCTCCCGTCTCTCACGCTAACTCTAATTGTTGCCTTAGGCTTATGTTCAGTACTCATGATTGGCCGTTATTGTAGTGTAAATGGAGGCTGGTTTATGAGGTGTGGTGTGTTGAGACCAACATAAAACCCGTGATTACCTCTGGCGGCGGCTTTGGCCTCTCTTGGTGTTATTGGTGGTGGCTGCCAAGCACCAGCTGGGCGACACGGTGGGGGGGTAGGCGCCAGGTGGTGACACTGAGGCGTGGCACCTCCTAGCCTCATGTGAACCGCTTCAGCTGGTCCTAGCTACCTAGCTGTGGCCCGCTTCAGCTGCTCCTAGCTACCTGGCTGTGGCCCGCTTCAGCTGCTTCTAGCTACCTAGCTGTGGCCCGCTTCAGCTGCTCCTAGCTACCTGGCTGTGGCCCGCTTCAGCTGCTCCTAGCTACCTAGCTGTGGCCCGCTTCAGCTGCTCCTAGCTACCTGGCTGTGGCCCGCTTCAGCTGGTCCTAGCTACCTAGCTGTGGCCCGCTTCAGCTGCTCCTAGCTACCTAGCTGTGGCCCGCCTCACCTCTCTACTAACCACGTCATAAACTCTCAACGTTCATACGTCATGAAACCCCCTCTCACTTCCTAATGTTTCAATACCGACTACCCCATTACTCGGGTGCAATTCAATAATTACGAGTGAAGTTAATTACCATAATAAGTGTGGTAATTGGCCCGTCAGACATGCCACTGAGGCGGAGATGAAGGAGTTTACCACGTCACTTACGCGACCACACGAGGCCCGGCACATAGTAATATTTAAGATAACCTCAAGATAGTACTCTTACGGGTGAAATATTGCCCGTCTTAGAGTGGGGTTATGACCCTTAGAGTGGCTGTGGTATGGGTGGCTTCATGCAAGCACAGTCCCGCATGCGGTCGTGGCTGTGGTATGGGTGGCTTCATGCAAGCACAGTCCCGCATGCGGTCGTGGCTGTGGTATGGGTGGCTTCATGCAAGCACAGTCCCGCATGCGGTCGTGGCGGCGGTAATCAGGAACATGCGCTCTCTAAAAGTCATCAATCAGCAGGCAAGTGCACGTTTCTAACCAAGCCAATTGGGTGTATTTATGCAGGAAAAAAACGTGTCAACTATGCTATGTGTGGGAGTCAGGTGTGGGAGTCAGGTGTGGGAGGCAGGTGTGGGTGGAGGAGAGGGCAGTAGGTTGTGCGGGAGGTGGGTAGGGCAGGTGTGGGTGGTTGAGAGGGCATGTGGGTACAGGCTGTTAGAAGGATACTTTCTTATCCACAGTAGGCGCTTCATTGTGGTCTCGTGCAGGGCATTGTACTCACCTAATTGTACTCACCTAGTTGTGCTTGCGGGGGTTGAGCTCTGGCTCTTTGGTCCCGCCTCTCAACCGTCAATCAACAGGTGTACAGGTTCCTGAGCCTATTGGGCTCTATCATATCTACACTTGAAACTGTGTATGGAGTCAGCCTCCACCACATCACTCCCTAATGCATTCCATTTGTCAACCAAAATTTGTGTGTGTGTGTGTGTGTGTGTGTGTGTGTGTGTGTGTGTGTGTGTGTGTGTGTGTGTGTGTGTGTGTGTGTGTGTGTGTGTGTGAATTGTATGTAGTAGATATAATAGAGAAAATAGATCGGGAATCAGTACATTAGACATTAAGCGACAGTCAGAAAGACGGGACCCAAGAGCTGAATCCTGCAGCACAAGTAGTGAACACCCTCCCCCTCCACCCCCCCCCCCCACTGTACCCTGCACCAGACCGCGGGTACAAAAACACAGCACAAGAGTAATGACTTATTATTACCTTACAAACGCCTGATTATTTCAGCTGTAACAGGCGGCCGCGAGACTCATGGCGGAATGAGAGTTACAAGCGCTATAATTAGTAAATTACAGGAACGATTACCAGATCTGGTAATGATTACGATTACCGATGAACGATTACGATTACCGCCAAACACACACCGAAACTACGACGTTGGTACAACGTTCGAACAAGTTTTAACACCTGCTAACCAGTTATAACAACCAATATAGCACGTTGTAACAACGTTCTAATGCGTTATAAACACGTTAAGCCAAGATGTAACAACTTTATTACAAGTTGTAACAAGCGGAAAATAGACACAGTTACGGTTTGTGTTTCCAGGGGAGGGATCATTTGACGCCTCGCACCGACACCAAGCTTTATGTTAATGACGGAATCTGTCTCCTCTGTGGGCTTATGTTTCCACTTGAGAATGATCCAGGACGGACCGAAACGTCGTCGTCCCTTCACCTTCTAGTCTCTGGTCAACACCCACCATGACCCCCTCCCCCATCGTGACCCCCCCTCCCCCCCTACCTTACGCGTCTAAATATTGAAGTCTTGCGGGTAACTGCCGACACATTTACGTCTCTGAGAACCGGAAATGTAATTCTTCACAGAGTATTGAGTCCTGCGCGTGCGTCTGTATTCCTCTACTACAGTTTGCCGAGCTCTCCCCCCCCCCCTGTGTATTTACTACTGTTCCTGCAGGGTCCAGCTCATATAGCTCTTGGACCCCGCCTTTGTAACCTTAACGTTGTTTAGTGTACTGACTCCAGACGTGAATTTTTCCTGTCATATCGATTACACATCTCTCTCTCTCTCTCTCACACACACACACCCCCACACACCCACACACACACACACACACACACACACACACACACACACACACACCCACACACACACACACACACACAGGTAGCAGCCAGTAGCAGCAGTCTAACTCCCAGGTACCTATTTACTGCTAGGTGAACAGTGACATTAAATAAACTCTGCCACTTTCTTTCTGTTTCGGCCGGGAGTCGAACCCGGGCCCTTAGGAGTACAACCGCGGCTTACTGCTGCCAGTGTAAGCAAATGGACAAAAAATATACCCGACGATGGAACTATTTAAACACTAATTTTAAGGCTCACCGCAAGTTTTACGAGCGGGTCTTCCTGGCAGGTTTTTAGGTGAGAGTAACTCTTACCAACTTCCAGTCGTGAGAGCCCTTGATGAAGGGTGTACACCCTTACCACTCACCCTAGCAACCCTTGCAGGGTGGTGTGTGTGTGTGTGTGTGTGTGTGTGTGTGTGTGTGTGTGTGTGTGTGTGTGTGTGTGTGTGTGTGTGTGTGTGTGTGTGTGTGTGTGTGTGTGTGTGTGTGTGTGTGTGTGTGTGTGTTCTACACGACTAAACTATAAATCTACACCCCCCCCCCACACACACACACACAAAAAAAAAGCTGATTGCAATTTAACAATTCATTCCCGATGCAAATACTTGTTTCTTGGCGAAGCGACTCGGAGCGTCAGTCCATAAAACGATCGTTAATCCGACAGCAGCTTCCGCAGCGCCCGGGCTCGGACCCGGGGCCCTTGGAGGAGCGCCGGCAGGTACACTCCGTCCTCACACAGTCTCTTGTCAACACACTCTGTCCGGCCACCAGAATTCACGCTGTATACTTTCTATAGCATTCACGTGTGTAAACTCTACATGCGGTAGAGAGCTTGTTTCTATGGTATGATAGCTGGTGGGTCCCTACCCATTAGGGTTATCTTGAGGTTATCTTGAGATGGTTTCGGGGCTTTGGTGTCCCCGCGGCCCGGTCCTCGACCAGGCCTCCACCCCCAGGAAGCAGCCCGTGACAGCTGACTAACACCCAGGTACCTATTTATAGTTAGGTAACAGGGGCATAGGGTGAAAGAAACTCTGCCCATTGTTTCTCGCCGGCGCCCGGGATCGAACCCGGGACCACAGGATCACAAGCACAGCGTGCTGTCCGCTCGGCCGACCGGCTCCCTATATCCACACAATATACCTAGATATACTCAATAGATTTACTTCCGAAGACGAAAATATGATTATTATCATCAACCTTAAAATGTATATTATATACTTCATAATATCTTCACACATATACATAATATCTTCACACATATACATAATATCTTCACACATATACATAATATCTTCACATGTAAACTGTTAGCCATAGTAATCTTGGTCTGGGGGAGAAAAACCACCGTTGGTGGTACCTAGTTATCGTAGGTAGACGTGTAAACTGTTTACCCGGAGCTACACTGATAACTTTATGTTATATTACAAATTATGAGTCCTTGTCGCCGTCTGTGTCAGCCTCGGCAACCTGTGGACGGGTTTCCCCGTCTAATGTGAGACAGATGATCAACAAGGTGGTCGCCCTGAGGTGGTCTACCTGTCTTCTCAAATAAGACATAGCATTCTGTACGGTATGATCTTCAACGTCCAAAATACGGGGAACAATGAAAAGTAGCGACTCGGAAAGGTCCACGTTCTCTATACGCTGGTTAGAGGTAGGTTATCTAGCTTAGAGTAGGGGTAGATTAGGTTAGGTTATCTAGGTTAGGGTAGGTTAGGTTATTTACCTTAGGGTAGGGTACATTACGATAGGTTATCTCGGTTAGGATAGGTTAGGTTATCTAGGTTAAGGTAGGTTAGGTTATCTAGCTTAGGATAGGGTAGATTAAGATAGGTTATCTAGGTTTGGATAGGTTAGGTTAGGAGACTTGGGTGCTTGCACAAATCCCCAGGATGAAGCCCTCAACAGCCTGCTCGGAGTCCAAGAGCTAACACCTCAATTCAACAGGCACAAATAGGTAAAAATAAATAGGCAAATAGAAACAAGAGGCCACAGAACCCATTAGTCACGATCTAAAGCTTCCATTTGGAATAATATGACGACTCAAAAATAAAAAAAATATATATATAATTCCATTGACAAAGTCGCACTCTTCCTCGTGGAGCCATACTCTCCAGCGCTCATTTTCGTGGCGCTTTTGGGATTGCACACTGGAGACATCAAGGGCTGGTTTATGGGCGTGGGCGGCGCTGTCTTCGTCAGGAGGGCCTCCAGCGCGCCCACACACCCCTCTCCCTCCCCACTAGTCCAGAGGAAATGGCACACGAAGGGTAAATACCGCCTTGATTATGGGTCGGCTACGTAGCCCGGCAACAGCCCCACTAGTAGCAACACCAGGAGCTCCAGTAGCAACACCAGGAGCTCCAGTAGCAACACCAGGAGCTCCAGTAGCAACACCAGGAGCTCCAGTAGCAACACCAGGAGCTCCAGTAGCAACACCAGGAGCTCCAGTAGCAATACCAGGAGCTCCAGTAGCAATACCAGGAGCTCCAGTAGCAATACCAGCAGCTCCAGTAGCAATACCAGGAGCTCCAGTAGCAATACCAGGAGCTCCAGTAGCAATACCAGGAGCTCCAGTAGCAACACCAGCAGCTCCAGTAGCAATACCAGGAGCTCCAGTAGCAATACCAGCAGCTCCAGTAGCAATACCAGGAGCTCCAGTAGCAATACCAGGAGCTCCAGTAGCAATACCAGGAGCTCCAGTAGCAATACCAGGAGCTCCAGTAGCAATACCAGGAGCTCCAGTAGCAATGCCAGCAGCTCCAGTAGCAATACCAGCAGCTCCAGTAGCAACACCAGGAGCTCCAGTAGCAATACCAGGAGCTCCAGTAGCAATACCAGGAGCTCCAGTAGCAATACCAGGAGCTCCAGTAGCAATACCAGGAGCTCCAGTAGCAATACCAGGAGCTCCAGTAGCAATACCAGGAGCTCCAGTAGCAATACCAGGAGCTCCAGTAGCAACACCAGGAGCTCCAGTAGCAATACCAGCAGCTCCAGTAGCAACACCAGGAGCTCCAGTAGCAATACCAGGAGCTCCAGTAGCAATACCTGGAGCTCCAGTAGCAATACCAGGAGCTCCAGTAGCAATACCAGGAGCTCCAGTAGCAATACCAGGAGCTCCAGTAGCAATACCAGGAGCTCCAGTAGCAATACCAGGAGCTCCAGTAGCAATACCAGGAGCTCCAGTAGCAACACTAGTAGCAGGAACACCAGTAGCAGTGTGTGTGTGTGGACAATGCTGAGGTGCCGGTGAAGGGTGTGTGTAGCTATAGCACGGCCTACGTCATGTTGATGGCGTGATCTCTGCCGCGCGGAACTTCTAATTTCCTTATCATTCCTCTTTTACAAGCCTTTGAGTAACCTTCAGCTGAACCGCCTCCGCAAGTAACTCATGCCACTTATCCACAAACCTCAGGCTAAATAAGTGCGTCCATCCCTGTGCCACCGTGCCCAAACGTTGCCCCTGTACGGCAGTACCGCTCTGGACGTGTCGCGGTACTTTTATGCGGTGGAACACGCCGGGGGTACACAGGGACAAGCGGGGTACAGGTCCCTGGGGAACAACACTCAAATGAATTGATCATGTCAGATGGCCAGACTTACGCTGCTGTAGCTCTCCCTCACTCTCCCTCACTCTCCCTCACCCTCCCTCACTCTCCCTCACTCTCCCTCACTCTCCCTCACCTCTCTCTACTTGCTACCTCTTCCTTCCACTGTTGTAGCCAGAGAGAGCTTGTATTTAGACGTCTCCCTCCCCCCCCCTTGTCCTTTTATTCCTACCCCCTCGCTGTCAACACCCCCCCTACCCCACCCCCCACGACATCTGAACTACACCAATCAGAGATTGCGCTTTCAACATCTCTGCCTCCCCCCCCCAGCATCCACCCCTCCTCACTGGTCCCTCGCCTCGTGTCATCGTTTATTTAAACACCATCGAAACAAACAAGAAGCGGAGAGGCTCCCCCGGGATGCCCTCGACTCAACAAATTAGCCTGGGAGACGAACCTCATGAAAGATCAAACACTCGACAACATTCACAAGCTGACTTAGAGGGCCCTCGCTCTCCTTGTTCCCCCCCCTCCACACACACACACACACCTGTCATCGACACACCCGCACCTGTCATCGACACACCCACACCTGTCATTGATACATTCACACCTGTCATCGAAACACCTACACCTGTCATCGACACACTCACACCTGTCATCGAAACACCTACACCTGTCGTCGACACACCCACACCTGCCATCGACACACCCACACCTGTCATCGATACATCCACACACCTGTCATCGACACACCCACACCTGCCATCGACACACCCACATCAGCCATCAACACACCCACATCAGCCATCAACACACCCACACCAGCCATCGACACACGCATGTTATCGACACACCCACACACCTGTCATCGACACACCCACACCTGTCATCGACACACCCCACACACCTGCCATCAACACACCCACACCTGCCATCAACACACCCACACACCTGCCATCAACACACCCACATCAGCCATCGACACACCCCACACACCTGCCATCAACACACCCACACCTGCCATCAACACCTACGAATCACAACAATCAACAACACACACCACACAATCAACACATCATACTAATCATCAACCAACCAATCAATCGAGTGTATATTATCTTCAACAATCAAAAATGGCATTAACAAGGTTATGTATACCTAAAGAAATACACAGACGTGTATAACAATCATACAATTCTAGTGTTATACAGGCCAGAGGGGGACGGTGTAAGTTGTCATTAGTGCTCAGTGCCCTGGTGAGTATGACGGTGAGTATGACGGTGAGTATGAGTGAGTATGACGGTGAGTATGACGGTGTGGAGTTATCATTTCTGCTACAAACCTGTTACAACACCCTTCAGTCACCGTGCTCAGGTCTAGTGATCAACGGTGAGCACCTCCACAACTGCTGCCTTACAACAACAACAACAACTCAAGAGATCATCACTGCAAGTGGAAAAAATAAATAAAAATAATAAAAAAAGCAAAGGAGAAAAAAAGGGGGTTGCTGCAACATTATTCAAGTATTTTAACGAGAAACTCTTTGATCGCGGGACGCAAAAGTTCTCAGTTGACCCTCGGGGTCGTAATTGCATTCTGGGTAAGCTCTGGGGAGCCAATGAGCTCGCAGCAAAAGGCGAGCCTCCATCCTGGTGGCACTCATCCCAGACACATCAAAGCCACGTGAATACCGAATGCCAACTGTCTCCCCTCGCTTTGGTGCGGCGCCCCCGGGAGTTGGTCTTTCCTTAAAACATCACCTCCGGGACGACATTATTAGCCAGACCACTTTGAGGGTGGGGGGCCGAGGCCCACACCAACCACCACCATTAACGGCCCTACCATATTTTCGCTTGGTAATTACTGAGGCCTGAGAGTCCTTATTGTGAGCAGCTCTGGTCGTAAGAGCCAGCTGGTGGTTGTACCACGGTCCTTAGGCAGAGTACGGTGTACGCTGCCTAAACAGTAAACAGTAAACTGTATAAGATAGACAGTAACAGTAAAGATGGCGCTGACAGTAATAGAGAGTGCCACACTGGCTCTCTACCACCCCTCCTCTTCTCCCTTCCCCTCCCTGCACGGCTCACCAGGGTGCCACAGCTCAGGTGGCACCAGGTGGACTAATCCTCTATTAGGCTTCTTACGTCAGTAGTATCGAGAGATAATTCACCCCCCCCCCTCTCCCCCGACCACCCGAGCGTGAACGCACTCCCATAATCTCCCCACCTCCACACTCCCTCCTCCACACTCTCCCACCTCCACACTCTCCCACCTCCACACTCCCACTTCCACACTCTCCCACCTCCACACTCTCCCACCTCCACACTCTCTTTAACTCCCCACCTAACACTCTCCCGCAGAGGTGTGCAATAAGACAGGTGCGTGAATTAAGAGGACTAAACTACAAGGACAGGTGAAGGAAATTTTGTCTCCCACTCCTAGACAACAGAAGGAACAGAGGACATGGTTATTACATACAAGATACTAAGGGAAATAAGACAAGGACAGCTTTTTTAAAGAGAAAATTTAACAAAAAACAACACAAATGAATTGAAGAAATGTAAGAAAATGCACATTCCCTCAGACGTCTGGTCAGCAAGTGGAATGTACTGAAAGAAGATGCTGTGGAAGCCACCTCCGACCACAACTTTAAAGCCAGATTTGACCGAACATCTGAACGCCAGGAGAGTTAAACTAAAACGCAACATGACAACACAACCTGGCAGAGGAGAGGCAGAAAGAGAAAAGCTCCCTTTACGGTAGTCACAGTTAGGTAAGCTCAGACATCAGAAGGAGAGAGAGGTGCTGTGAGGCACATCCTGACGGGGGTAGAGGGGCAGGGATCTGCGAGGAGCAGCAGCAGAAGAAAAAGAAGACGAAGAAGGAGGAGAGAGAGAGAGAGAGAGAGAGAGAGAGAGAGAGAGAGAGAGAGAGAGAGAGAGAGAGAGAGAGAGAGAGAGAGAGAGAGAGAGAGAGAGAGAGAGAGAGAGAGAGAGAGAGACTGACTGACTGACTGACTGACTGACTGACTTTCTTTTCAGGGCAGGCAGTTACAATAGGGAAAGAAATTGACCGATACAATTATAGATGTGATAGGAGCCCAGTAAGCTTAGGAACCTGTACATCAGTAGATTGACAATTTAGAAGCGGGATCAAACCCCACAAGCACAATTAGGCGAGTACAATTACGTAAGCACACACACACCAACTGGCAAATTGTAAAAATTTGGAAGTGGTAACGACTAGTGAGGAGAGGAGGGTGGTGAGGGAGGGGGAATGAGGTGGTGAGGGAGGGGGTGAGAGAAGGAGGGGGGGGGGTGTATCAGAAGCTTCACCTCCACATTTCATGAGACACGGAAGGGTGCTACAGGTTTGAGCGCCCCATGAATAACGTAGAGGTAAAAACACGCAGCTTTGCCCGCCACACTCTCTCCCACCTGGGCCTAATTCCTGAAGGCGACGGGAGCTGCAGGCCACGACAGGGCCCAGAGATGGGGGCGAGGCAGGTGGGGAAGGGCGAGGCAGGTGGGGAGGGGCGAGGCAGGTGGGGGTGAGGCAGGTGAGAACGAGGTAGATGGGGGCGAGGTAAGTGGGGGTGGGGCAGGGAGAGGGGGCGAGGAAGGTGGACGCCAATGAGCAGTTCTCCCTCAAGAATTCTGACAGATCTCAAGACGTGACAGCAGTCCCTAACGTGGCACAGCGCCGTGACAGCACTGGACATAGTCACCAGACATCACACGGCACTGAAGAACCATGACGGAGGACTGATACCATTCCACCAGTTAAGGAATCATCAAGACAGGTGTCTGGTGGTAGAAGCTGCCGAGAGCCAGGATGCTGACCATATCCCACGGTGCCTGGACACACACACACACGCCCTCTGGAGTCACACTACCTGCACCTGAGGCGTTGCTGCTCCGCCTAGCAAGAGAATGAATCAAGCACGACACGGTTGGCGAGCGATCAGGACTCGACCTGATCATTGTTAATGTTGTGGTCACAGATCTAAGAGTGTCCTCTGGCCTGACTTACAATCTCCCACGGCTGTGGACCTCAATCTACGAGGAATATGGCCATCTTCAGATGAGTAAAAACAATCTTGGTTCCAATAATGGATTAAGGATTTTCGTCCCCCACAAGTGAGAGCGTCATCACCAGACCTGGCAGTATAAGAGGTCGCCACCAGACCTGGCAGTATAAGAGGTCGACACCAGACCTGGCAGTATAAGAGGTCGACACCAGACCTGGCAGTATAAGAGGTCATCACCAGACCTGGCAGTATAAGAGGTCATCACCAGACCTGGCAGTATAAGAGGTCATCACCAGACCTGGCAGTATAAGAGGTCGACACCAGACCTGGCAGTATAAGAGGTCGACACCAGACCTGGCAGTATAAGAGGTCGACACCAGACCTGGCAGTATAAGAGGTCATCACCAGACCTGGCAGTATAAGAGGTCATCACCAGACCTGGCAGTATAAGAGGTCATCACCAGACCTGGCAGTATAAGAGGTCATCACCAGACCTGGCAGTATAAGAGGTCATCACCAGACCTGGCAGTATAAGAGGTCGACACCAGACCTGGCAGTATAAGAGGTCGACACCAGACCTGGCAGTATAAGAGGTCATCACCAGACCTGGCAGTATAAGAGGTCATCACCAGACCTGGCAGTATCAGGTCGTCACCAGACCTGGCAGTATCAGGTCATCACCAGACCTGGCAGTATAAGAGGTCATCACCAGACCTGGCAGTATAAGAGGTCATCACCAGACCTGGCAGTATAAGAGGTCATCACCAGACCTGGCAGTATAAGAGGTCATCACCAGACCTGGCAGTATAAGAGGTCATCACCAGACCTGGCAGTATAAGAGGTCATCACCAGACCTGGCAGTATAAGAGGTCATCACCAGACCTAGCAGTATAAGAGGTCATCACCAGACCTGGCAGTATAAGAGGTCATCACCAGACCTGGCAGTATAAGAGGTCATCACCAGACCTGGCAGTATAAGAGGTCATCACCAGACCTGGCAGTATAAGAGGTCATCACCAGACCTGGCAGTATAAGAGGTCATCACCAGACCTAGCAGTATAAGAGGTCATCACCAGACCTGGCAGTATAAGAGGTCATCACCAGACCTGGCAGTATAAGAGGTCATCACCAGACCTAGCAGTATAAGAGGTCATCACCAGACGTAGCAGTATAAGAGGTCATCACCAGACCTAGCAGTATCAGGTCATCACCAGACCTAGCAGTATCAGGTCGTCACCAGACCTAGCAGTATCAGGTCGTCACCAGACCTAGCAGTATAAGAGGTCGTCACCAGACCTAGCAGTATCAGGTCGTCACCAGACCTAGCAGTATAAGAGGTCGTCACCAGACCTAGCAGTATAAGAGGTCGTCACCAGACCTAGCAGTATCAGGTCGTCACCAGACCTAGCAGTATCAGGTCGTCACCAGACCTAGCAGTATAAGAGGTCATCACCAGACCTAGCAGTATCAGGTCGTCACCAGACCTAGCAGTATCAGGTCGTCACCAGACCTAGCAGTATCAGGTCGTCACCAGACCTAGCAGTATCAGGTCGTCACCAGACCTAGCAGTCTGAGCTCACAACATCTCACACAAAAACCCTCACTAAACCCTAACCGCTGCCGCCGGTACAAAGTCTAATAACATCATAGTTTATACCACTGCTATTATCATCGCCTCGTACGCCATTATGCCGGCGAAAAAATCAGACAATTATTATAACAAGAGCAGGAAATATGTACTGCTGAACCAGGACCAAAAACTGGCCCGGCGCGGCCCGCCAGGCAGGGGGAGACTGAGGTATTAAACACACACCAATACAATTATCCGCTGTTTTGTACTCATATTTACTACAGTGATGCGTAACTCTTGGGGGGGTTGTGGTGGCCATTATTATATATATATATATATATATATATATATATATATATATATATATATATATATATATATATATATATATATATATATATATATATATATATATCGTCTTAACAACCCCCCCGCACGGGGAAGAGAAGCTGTTGAGATTTGTAATTTGTCTGTGTTCATTTACTTCGAATATATCAACAGCCGACTGTCCGAGTCTGACGAACCTTGGTGTCCGTTTGGGCGGGGGCTGATGAGTTGGGTCACAGGGCTGTCTTGTTACACGGCTCTGTCACAGGGCGCTCTGTCACGAGGCTCTGTCACAGGGCTCTCTGTCACGAGCCTCTCTGTCACGAGGCTCCGTCACAGGGTGCTCTGTCACGAGGCTCCGTCACAAGGCTCTCTGTCACGAGGCTCCGTCACAGGGTGCTCTGTCACGAGGCTCCGTCACAAGGCTCTCTGTCACGAGGCTACTTGCGAAGGTGATGCTGCGTCTGGAGAAGGTGAAACTTGTATGGAATGAAGATGAAGTCAAGGGCGTGATGAAGAATGAATGAAGGACATTAAACATGTCTAGAACCAGCCATAACCCATCAACAAGAACACCCCCCACCCACCAACCCCCCACTCACCCCCCAACCCCCACTCCCCACCCCAACCCCACCCCCACCCCCTCTCACTACCCCCACCGGAATCAACCCTTCACTTCCTGCTACAATCAAAATACTTTTACAAATAGATACATTTTAAAAAATGGCATTTCGAGCGTAACTAATTTATACCTTCCACATAATTTAAGAAAATGTAAATAATAGAGAATTGTTGTGGTAACGTTGAGCGACGTCATGAAGATTATTTGGAGGATATTGTACTGCCACACACAGCGTGATGAGACACCAACCATTCTCTACTCCAGCTCTAATGGTTAAATGAGTGGTCAATTGTGTATATTATCTCTCTCTCTCTCTCTCTCTCTCTCTCTCTCTCTCTCTCTCTCTCTCTCTCTCTCTCTCTCTCTCTCTCTCTCTCTCTCGTGTGTGTGTGTGTGTGTGTGTGTGTGAGTGTGTGTGCGTGCGTAGGGGGGGGGATGCAGCGTTGCATGCTCCAGCGTGGAGTCCACACCTAGTCAAGCACAAGACAAAGTTGGACAAGGTTCAAAGGAATGCCACCAGAGTAGTTCCAGATCTATGAACTACCTCGTAGTTCTGGAACTAGTCTAGTGTCTGCCTCCTTAAAACTAGTCAGCCTCCAACACATCACTAGGCAGTGATGAAGCAGACTCCATATACACTTTCAAATGAGGATATAATAAGTGTCCAATAGGCTCAGGAACCTGTCCACTACTTGATTGATGGTTGAGAGGCGGGACCAAAGAGCCGAAGATCAAGAGCAAGCACAATTAGGTGCGTACACACCCACACACATATACACACTAACCTATTTGTGCCTAAAGAAGTGATGTCTAGCTCCTGGATCTCGCCTTATCTAATACAATGACACCAGGCGTATTTTTGTATCCTATCTGCTTCTGAAAATCATGATTGGAGTTGGCTTCTACAATCTCTCCATTTACGTTATTCCATTCACACTATCTTAGGCTTTTAAAAGTTTCTAACACCCAAGTGGCTCATCTGATTCTCTAAAGTCCATTCTCGTTTTCTAGTTCTATTGGTAATCATTATGAACATTTTATCTTTTTCCACTTTGTCAATCCCTCTAAGTATTTTATATTTCTCAATCATATCTCCTCTCTTTCTTCTCATCTTTCCTAGCGACGTTTAGGTACGCTTCTTCCAGTTCATTATTTATACCCAATTCCTCGCAATTTTGGGAAGAGACTCGTCGCAAAATACTGTACGTTTCCAAGTTTCCTTATGTGGTTTTTGAGTCGGGGCTCCATAATGAGGACGACTTACTCTAAGACTGGCGGTGTTCACTTGTCTGAACGTATCATTATTTAGGTTCCCGAATGATGTTCACACACACACACACACACACACACACACACACACACACACACACACACACACACACACACACACACACACACACACACGGGGCGGATACATATCTCAGGGAGTCGGGTCTGCAGTAACAAACCTGAAGTTGTCCATGTCACTTACTAACCGTATCCGCAGTTTAAGTTCTTCATCTTGCGTAATGGATGTTGGCTTATTGGGTCTGCGTGTAATGGGAGCTGGTCGACCGTGGTCTCCTTCAGCGGTTGTGGAGCTCAGATGGTCGTGAACAAGATGGACTTCGTCAACTTATATTATTATTAGCATCTTTATTGACAAAATTAATTACAATTTTAGTCACTGCGGCTCTTCTACTGTTGTAGGATCTTCGTTCAATTGGAAGTGTCTTAATAGATGTTCGTTTAATAAGGCTGTCGTTCACTTCGATGATTCGTTTAATGAAAAGCTTTGATAGGACTTCGTTGATGTTATTATAAACTCAATCTTCGACGAGAACTTTTTTAGTAGGCTTTTGTGATGTCTAAATTAACTCCAAACATTAGTTACTCTTCATCCGTCTTTTCAAACGACTTCCTCCCTCCCACAACCCCCTCTCACTTCCCCCCCAAACTCCACTCCGTCATCGCCTACTTCAATTTCACCCTTCATCATAACGTCTCCGTTCACTTTCAACTCCTTCTCCATTTCCCATTATTAGGGAATCTTGCTATTGCACTCTGCACGACCCCCTCGGCACCTACTAACCTCCTCCACTCCCTTTCCTGTTCCCCTTTTCATTAATATTCCTTATCCTTCCACTTTTATCTTCCCCCTCCTCCCTCCTTCCCATGCCCCTGTTACCGCCACACTCAACAAATAAGTCTGGCCGTCATCGTGACATCACGGAGGAAATATTTCATAGAGTAACGCCGTTGTCTTCCTAGAGTCTGGTTCTTCCCGCGCCCAGGCGACCTAAGTATTTAAACAGGTTCCTGTACTCCCAGTAAGTACCGCCTCATTCGCTCAACCAACTGGGTTAGACGTTATGGCCTCGCTTCGTGCAGGCGGGCGATCAATCCCCGACCGTCCAAGTGGTTGGGGCACCATTCCTTCCCTCCGACCTCTCCCAACTCCTTATCCTTTCCAACTGCTATATGGTCGTAATGGCTCGGTGCTTTCTCCTGACAACTGCCTTACCTCACCGTCTCCTTCAGCGAACCGCGTGCTCAGGTGCCTCGTCGATCGCTACACCTCCCGCCCGTAAGTCGCCTGTGCCGCCCAGGGGCCGCCCTCACGCTAATGCGGCGTGATTGAGCTGGGTGGGCGTGCGGGTGGGGCGGGGACGTGCGGGTGGAGGGGAGGGTGGGGGGGGAAATGAAGTAGTGATTGCAGGGTGTGTCTACCTTCACAAGAAGGTGAACCCTGCTTCCGCTATGGTGGTGGTGGTGGTACTTCACCAGACAGTACTCACCTAACAGTGACTACGGGGTAGCGAGGACTAGGCCTTCATGCCCCGCCTTCTGGCCTTGTTGTACCTGCTGCGTTACAAGTTAACTGCTCTCATGTTCAAGTTCTTTATCGGATCACGTCTTAAAGTTGTGGATGGACGTGGCTTCCGTAACTTATTTCAAAGTATTCCACTTGTTAACTACCAGTACAGGGTACCAGTACTATCTTACGTCCCTTCGGCTCATTTGCATTTCCAGCTTCCACCTGTGTCCTCTTGTCCTACTTTCTCTCAATCTGAAGCGGCTATCCTTGTCCACCTTATCTATTCCCCGCAGTATCTTCCATGTTGTGACCATATCCCCTCTGCTCCTTCAACCCTCTAGGAGTCTAGGGTTGTGAGATATAATTCCATTAGCCTTTTCTCGTAGCTTAACCCTCTTAGCTCCGGCACCAGTCTTGTTGCAAACCCTTGTACTTTTCCAATTTTGGCTTCACAAGGCGCGGATTCCATGCCGGTGCTGCGTATTCCAGCATTGGTCTAACAAATGTTGTGTAGATTGCTTTGAAGGAGTCCTGATTTACTCTTCTAAACGATGTTCTTATGTTTGCCAGCGTCCCATATGCCGCTGATGTTATTCTGTTTATGTGTGCCTCAAGTGTGAGTGTTGGGATTATATCCACTCCCATGTAGCTGCCTTCCCCGTATGGTGTAGCTGCCTTCCCTGTATGGTGTAGCTGCCTTCCCCGTATGGTGTAGCTGCCTTCCCTGTATGGTGTAGCTGCCTTCCCCGTATGGTGTAGCTGCCTTCCCTGTATGGTGTAGCTGCCTTTCCTGTATGGTGTAGCTGCCTTCCCCGTATGGTGTAGCTGCCTTCCCTGTATGGTGTAGCTGCCTTCCCTGTATGGTGTAGCTGCCTTCCCTGTATGGTGTAGCTGCCTTCCCTGTATGGTGTAGCTGCCTTCCCAGTATGGTGTAGCTGCCTTCCCCGTATGGTGTACCTGCCTTCCCTCTATGGTGTAGCTGCCTTCTCCGTATTGTGTAGCTGCCTTCCCTGTATGGTGTAGCTGCCTTCCCAGTATGGTGTAGCTGCCTTCCCTGTATGGTGTAGCTGCCTTCCCTGTATGGTGTAGCTGTCTTCTGGTCTCCATTCTCCCTTTCCCATCTTCATTAAATAAAACTTGTTGGGTGGTGGTGTAGTGGTGGTAATTGTGGTGGTCGTAGCAGTGATGTTCGTGGTAGTTGTGGTAGAAGAGGCGGTGGTAGTATTGTTGTGGTGGTGGTAGTTTTGGTTCTACCACCACCACAACATGGTTGTGGTGGTGATGGTGGTGTAGTGGTGATGGTTGTGGTGGTGATGGTGGTGTAGTGGTGATGGCTGTGGTAGTGGTGATGGCTGTGGTGGTGGTGATGGCTGTGGTGGTGGTGATGGCTGTGGTGGTGGTGGTGGTGGTGATGGCTGTGGTGGTGGTGGTGGTGGTGGTGGCTGTGATGGTGGTGGTGGTGGCTGTGATGGTGGTGGTGATGGCTGCGGTGGTGGTGGTGATGGTAGAGGTGGTGGTGGTGATGGTAGAGGTGGTGGTGGTGATGGTAGAGGTGGTGGTGGTGATGGTAGAGGTGGTGGTTGTATATACAAGATATCTTATAGTCTTGTAAAGCCAGCAGCACACCCAGCGTTCCGGGCCGGTCCTCAGTCCTAATTTTAGCGTGGAAGACAAGAGGCGCTGGAGGAGGCCGCTCACAGAAACTCATCACTTACAGCAGCGTTGAAGTCTCCGTCTGAGCACCCCCTCCCACCCCTAGTGTTGAGACACTGGTGCGTGATGGTAACATCTTCACGGAGACGTCACTCCTCCTTCCCCCCCCCCTCTTATGCTTCGTATATCCTCTTCTCCGAGGTTATGGGTCCCCTTTCCAACCATACGTTGAAATATGTTATATAACATAACATAATATAAATATAATATATATATATATATATATATATATATATATATATATATATATATATATATATATATATATATATATATATATATATATATATATATATATGTATATATATATAAATGTATGTAAATCACGAAAATTAACACGTGATGAAAATTGTGACAGTGTCAGACCACGGAGGAAGAATTGAAACAACAATTTCCTTAAGTACTTTCGTATTTCATAATACATCTTCAGAAGGGGTCTGAAGATGTATCATTAAATACGAAAGTACTTAAAGAAATTCATATTACAATTCTTCCTCCGTGGTCTGACACTGTCATAAATATATAAATATAAATATATATATATATATATATATATATATATATATATATATATATATATATATATATATATATATATATATATATATATGTCGTACCTAGTAGCCAGAACGCACTTCTCAGCCTACTATGCAAGGCCCGATTTGCCTAATAAGCCAAGTTTTCATGAATTAATTGTTTTTCGACTACCTAACCTAACCTAACTTTTTCGGCCACCTAACCCAACCTAACCTATAGAGATAGGTTAGGTTAGGTTAGGTAGGGTTGGTTAGGTTCGGTCATATATCTACGTTAATTTTAACTCAAATAAAAAAAAAAAACCTCATACATAATGAAATGGGTAGCTTTATCATTTTATCAGAAAAAAATTAGAGAAAATATATTAATTCAGTAAAACTTGGTTTATTAGGCAAATCGGGCCTTGCATAGTAGGCTGAGAAGTGCGTTCTGGCTACTAGGTACGACATATATATATATATATATATATATATATATATATATATATATATATATATATATATATATATATATATATATATATATATATATATCTGGCGTACCCAGAGCAGCGCCAGGGCTGGACAAGAAGCTAAGGATCAACAGAACACACAAAACCTCTCCAAATATTAAAAGAATTCCAAAAACCCGTAATATCCCCCCGGTGATGACGGGCCGCACACCTCAACAGCTCTCATTAAACAAATACAAGTTAGTATGACGCACATCCTCAATAGGGAAATGGTGTGTGTGTGGGGGGGAAAAACCCGCCACACATTCCTCTTGTGTACAAATGTTTCCCAGGGGACTGCGGGGGCTCGGCTCTGGTTGGCAACAGGATCCAATTTCCTCTTCTTTGCTAAATCGACTCAATAGTGAAGCCTTTCATTGGCTGGTGACTATAATTAGTACACGGATGGTTGCTCCAATAATTTCAGCCGCGTATAAATACCTTTTCTCTCTCTCTCGGTGTTTTGCGGCCAGAGGAAGTGGTGTTGCTAGCCAGTTTAATTATTAATTAAAAGAATGGTTTGAGCCGTGCTTCTTGCCGGACGAGCGCGCGTGATACAGGTACGAGACGTGACCACTACATCGCTGATACTACACCTATGACGTCAATGGAACACCTGTCTTACTCCTTTTTATTGTCTCTGACGTAAAGGAATCTTAGATAACCTATTATTGTGTGAGGCAGGTCAACCCCCTTATTGTGAGGGGACGGGGCCCTCCCCCCCTTGACACTGTACCCGTCTTTGGTCACAAGGAAGGGTTGGCTCATACTTTTGGGGCTCGTGTTCGAGTCTGCGATGATCCTAGTCAACAAAACATTTCTCAGGCTATTGTGGTTTGCAGTTTGCATGACAGAGACGCAGGAGCCTTAAACCACAAGATGTTTAATGGCGCTCTATGGAAGGTTTAACGTCTCACTTAGATGCAGTTGTTGATGTTGTTCAAATTTGTGTGAGACTTGCCCTAGGCGTCGAGCCCCAGACCGACACACGTTGATATGATAGTCATATACATAGTCACTGTCGCACATGTTGATATGATAGAGCCCAATAGGCTCATGAAACTGTAAACCAGTTGAGAGGCGAGACCAAAGAGCTGAAGCTCAACCCACGCAAGCACAACTAGGTGAGTACAGACATACAGACATGGTAATTTATATAGATATTGAAAGTTATAATGAAATAACAATACGGAAGGAAAAGATCCAATATTTATATAATATCTTGAGGCGATTTCGGGGCTTAGCGTCCCCGCGGCCCGGTCCTCGACCAGGCCGACCAGGCTTTTTGTTACAACCCCCCCAAGAAGCAGCCCGTAGCAGCTGTCTAACTCCCAGGTATCTATTTACTGCTAGGTAACAGGGGCATTAGGGCGAAAGAAACTTTTTGCCCATTTGTCTCCGCCTCCACCGGGGATCGAACCCGGAACCTCAGGACTACGAATCCGAAGCGCTGTCCACCCAGCTGTCAGGCGCTCACATATGTGATAAAATACCACCAGTTTCTTATACAAGTGTTTTAGTCTGTGATAAGAATGAGAATAATTGTTTCTTTATCACTTGGGTATTAAGTTTTTTTTTTTCGGGGGGGGGGGGGTTATCTTGAGATGATTTCGGGGCTTTAGTGTCCCCGCGGCCCGGTCCTCGACCACGCCTCCACCCCCAGGAAGCAGCCCGTGACAGCTGACTAACACCCAGGTACCTATTTTACTGCTAGGTAACAGGGGCATAGGGTGAAAGAAACTCTGCCCATATTTCTCGCCAGCGCCCGGGATTGAACCCGGGACCACAGGATCACAAGACCAGCGTGCTGTCCGCTCGGCCGACCGGCTCTCGGCCGAGCGGGGGATTGCATCCTCGACACCAAGACCATGCAACGCCACTTGCAACATTGATCAGTGATCACGGGTAAACCTACCACAGTGGTATACACCACCTACCACAGTGGTATACACCACCTACCACAGTGGTATACACCACCTACCACAGTGGTATACACCAGCTACCACAGTGGTATACACCAGCTACCACAGTGGTATACACCACCTACCACAGTGGTATACACCACCTACCACAGTGGTATACACCACCTACCACAGTGGTATACACCACCTACCACAGTGGTATACACCACCTACCACAGTGGTATACACCACCTACCACAGTGGTATACACCACCTACCACAGTGGTATACACCACCTACCACAGTGGTATACACCACCTACCACAGTGGTATACACCACCTACCACAGTGGTATACACCACCTACCGCAGTGGTATACACCACCTACCACAGTGGTATACATCACCTACCACAGTGGTATACACCACCTACCGCAGTGGTATACACCACCTACCACAGTGGAATACACCACCTACCACAGTGGTATACACCACCTACCGCAGTGGTATACACCACCTACCACAGTGGTATACACCACCTACCACAGTGGTATACACCACCTACCACAGTGGTATACACCATCATACCAACCCGTTCTCGCAAATTCGTAAAGTCAATATTGACTTATTAACTACGTGCATAGGTGATATACTAAACATAATAGATACCCTTAAAAAGATTCATAGAAAACACCGACCTTACCTAACCTTGTTAGTATCTTAAGATAAGCATCTTATTGCTTCGTAATTACAATTATTACTTAACCTATACCTATTATAGGTTAGGTAATAATTGTAATTACGAAGCTATAAGATGCTTATCTTAAGATACTAACAAGGTTAGGTAAGGTCGGTGTTTTCTATGAATCTTTTTAAGGGTATCTATTATGTTAAGTATGTCACCTATGCACATATTTAATAAGTCAATATTGACTTATTAAATTTGCGAGAACGGGTTGTCTATACTGTGGCCGGGGAAGTGTGCTGCTGCTCCTTATCAACTGAGACCTTGTTGAAAGTTGTCACCATCTTCCCCACACCATCACTGACACCACCACCACCCTCACCACAACCACCACCATCCCTAACACAACTACCACCAACACCACCATCACCACCACTACCACCGGTCGTCATCGTCATCGCCATCATCACCACTACCAGGGAGGAGCCGGTCGGCCGAGCGGACAGCACGCTGGACTTGTGATCCTGTGGTCCTGGGTTCGATCCCAGGCGCCGGCGAGTAACAATGGGCAGAGTTTCTTTCACCCTATGCCCCTGTTACCTAGCAGTAAATAGGTACCTGGGTATTAGCCAGCTGTCACGGGCTCCTTCCTGGGGGTGGAGGCCTAGTCGAGGACTGGGCCGCGGGGACACTAAAGCCCCGAAATCATCTCAAGATAACCTCAAGATAACCACCATCCCTAACACAACCACCACCATCCCTAACACAACTACCACTATCCCTAACCAACCACCACCATCCCTAACACAACTACCACTATCCCTAACCAACCACCACCATCCCTAACACAACTACCACTATCCCTAACCAACCACCACCATCCCTAACACAACTACCACTATCCCTAACCAACCACCACCATCCCTAACACAACTACCACTATCCCTAACCCAACCACCACCGACGATTTAATGGGAGTTCATCAAGTCATAAAACCAGACATTACAAGTGCAGGAAAACAATGGAATTATTGAAGAATGCATCTTTATAGTGTTGATGTGTAGCCACAGCTGATGTGTAGCCACAGCTGATGTGTAGCCACAGCTGATGTGTAGTCACAGCTGATGTGTAGCCACAGCTGATGTGTAGCCACAGCTGATGTGTAGTCACAGCTGATGTGTAGCCACAGCTGATGTGTAGCCACAGCTGATGACTGTTGACAGTAAGCTGCCTTCCGTGTAGCCAGGGGGACAACTGATGCAAGCCTTCAAGGTGGGCTGGACCGGTCAAGCAGACGAGTAGGTGAAGGTGGTGGTGAAAGCCAGCAAATCCAAGCGTTCAAAATAGGCACGGGATGGAAACAGATGGGCAAGGTGGGCGTGGGTGGGCACTTGGCAGGTGGGTAGGTGGGTGGGTGGGCAGTGGAGCGAGAAGGGACGCCTGAGCAGGCCGCGCAATCATGTCAACTATACAAGCAAAAAAAAAAAAAAACAGCAGCGGAAGGAGACTACTTTCTGGGATGCATCACTTGTGTGATAATTGATGAGCCGTTGATACGGGTCCTGTCACACACACACACACACACACACACACACACACACACACACACACACACACACACACACACACACACACACACACACACACAGTTGAGAGGCGGGATCAAAGAGCCAAAGCTCAACCCCCGCAAGCACAAATAGGTGAGTACACACACGCACATAAAGGGGGGGGGGGGGCTCGCAGCTGAGTGGACAGCGCTCGGGAGTCTCAGTCCTAAAGGCCCGGGCTCGATTCCCGGCGAACCCGAGCCTAGTCACCTGCAGGTAAGAGACGGGGCCCCGGAGCAAGAGTTTAACCTGCAAAAACGCAGCTTGGGGGAGCACAACTATGTGAGTACACACAAATAAGGCCACATTTATTATAAAACAAAATGCTAAATAAATAAAACTCACGCAACAGTTTAATACGCCAGTCACGAATGCACTCAAATTTGTGTGCAAAACAATCACTACACATGTACAAGCAGGTGTAGCAGGTGTGATTACACAGGTGTCATTGCAGCCTCTCATTTATTGTACTCGATAACCGCTTTTAACCCGCGTATAATTCATACGCTTCTCTGCGTAAACCTCGTTATTAAAAAGATCAATAAGCATTCATTATAACTCTAGTATAGAGTTATAAAGTAGCACGGGCTATGGTGAACCCGTAAACGTTTGTATAACCCAAACTTGAGATGTCCTGACCAGAGATAACCCCTCCCACCACTCCACCGGTAAGTTACAGTCCCCACCATTACCTTCCTCAAGCCGAAGCCTGGGCCACAACACGGACAAAAACAGCTACGTTCCCCGCAGACAATTTCGACAATCAGCAATTTAGTCATTCAGAAATCAGGAATTTCTTGAATGAAACCCCCGGTGATGCGCGGTGGCTTTACCGGTGTTGCCAAGTATAGTGTTGTGGATGGTGGTCGGGGAGCTGTAGGGGCGGCATAGGCGCTTCCTAACACACACACACACACACACACACACACACACACACACACACACACACACACACACACACACACACACACACACACACACACACACACACACACACCCACACACACACCACACACACACACACACACACACACACACACACACATACACACACACACACCCACACTCTTCCAGAAAACCACTCTCCACACACCTTCCCACAGGACAAAGCTGCACCCTCCCACGCTCCCTACCACACACCCAATACTCCCACAGCATACACATGCTCCCACTTCATAAACAGCCCTCCCACGTACCCTCTCCTACATATGACTAATATCAACAATCCCCCACTTTCCGGTAATGTGGATAATCTGGGGGTGTCTTGCCCCGGCCTATAATTCCACCGTGGGCAGGCCCCTGAATTATCTTGCACACAGAAGATAAATTACATGACGCTATTCATGTAACTGTAGAAGGTAATCCACACAATGACTCAATTATCCTCCCTCGAGATGTTTCTCTTGCCCAAGCACGCCCGCAGCTGGTGATTGTGGGTGAATGACAGTTCTACATCACTGTGGACAGGGTAATCTGTCAGTAATGTATGAGACTAACTTCCTTTAAGTCCTCCGTTAAACTTCCCTAACATCACCGACACAGGCACTGCCTCTAACATCATCGACACAAGCACTGCCTCTAACATCACTGACACAAGCACTGCCTCTAACATCACTGACACAAGCACTGCCTCTAACATCACCGACACAAGCACTGCCTCTAACATCATCGACACAAGCACTGCCTCTAACATCACTGACACAAGCACTGCCTCTAACATCACTGACACAAGCACTGCCTCTAACATCACCGACACAAGCACTGCCTCTAACATCACCGACACAAGCACTGCCTCTAACATCACCGACACAAGCACTGCCTCTAACATCACCGACACAAGCACTGCCTCTAACATCACCGACACAAGCACTGCCTCTAACATCACCGACACAAGCACTGCCTCTAACATCACCGACACAAGCACTGCCTCTAACATCACCGACACAAGCACTGCCTCTAACATCACCGACACAAGCACTGCCTCTAACATCACCGACACAAGCACTGCCTCTAACATCACCGACACAAGCACTGCCTCTAACATCACCGACACAAGCACTGCCTCTAACATCACTGACACAAGCACTGCCTCTAACATCACTAACACAAGCACTGCCTCTAACATCACTGACACAGGCACTGCCTCTAACATCACTGACACAAGCACTGCCTCTAACATCACTGACACAAGCACTGCTTCTAACATCACCGACACAAGCACTGCCTCTAACATCATCGACACAAGCACTGCTTCTAACATCATCGACACAAGCACTGCTTCTAACATCACTGACACAAGCACTGCCTCTAACATCACCGACACAAGCACTGCTTCTAACATCACCGACACAAGCACTGCCTCTATCATCACTGACACAAGCACTGCCTCTAACATCACTGACACAAGCACTGCCTCTAACATCACTGACACAAGCACTGCCTCTAACATCACTGACACAAGCACTGCCTCTAACATCACTGACACAAGCACTGCCTCTAACATCATCGACACAAGCACTGCCTCTAACATCATCGACACAAGCACTGCCTCTAACATCATCGACACAAGCACTGCTTCTAACATCACCGACACAAGCACTGCCTCTAACATCACTGACACAAGCACTGCCTCTAACATCACCGACACAAGCACTGCCTCTAACATCATCGACACAAGCACTGCCTCTAACATCATCGACACAAGCACTGCCTCTAACATCACCGACACAAGCACTGCCTCTAACATCACCGACACAAGCACTGCCTCTAACATCACTGACACAAGCACTGCCTCTAACATCACCGACACAAGCACTGCCTCTAACATCACTGACACAAGCACTGCCTCTAACATCATCGACACAAGCACTGCCACTAACATCACCGACACAAGCACTGCCTCTAACATCACTGACACAAGCACTGCCTCTAACATCACCGACACAAGCACTGCCTCTAACATCACTGACACAAGCACTGCCTCTAACATCATCGACACAAGCACTGCCACTAACATCACCGACACAAGCACTGCCTCTAACATCACTGACACAAGCACTGCCTCTAACATCACTGACACAAGCACTGCCTCTAACATCACCGACACAAGCACTGCCTCTAACATCACCGACACAAGCACTGCCTCTAACATCACTGACACAGGCACTGCCTCTAACATCACCAACACAAGCACTGCCTCTAACATCACCGACACAAGCACTGCCACTAACATCACCAACATTTACACAGCCAAGAGATAAGACCACAAAGAAGGGGCTGCCCAGCTAGGTACCACAACCCACAACGCTCCACGCAGGAGTCAAGTGCGGGTATAGCTCCCGCCGCCGCTGCTGCTGCTGCTTCCAGTACTAACCTTCACCCTCCAACCTCCAGCTGGGGACCTTAATAAACAAGCTTCAAGTATATCATCATCACCTACTCGTCTCCTATAACAAAATCAAAACATCAGAGAGGAGCAAGGCAGAAAGAGTTAAGGGAAATGAAAAATGGAAACTCCAGTGCCTCACCCCCCCACGTGCCTGTCAACAAGACAGGTGCCGCGCCCTCCCTGTGCCAGCAGGCTCTCTCTTCCCAGATGCCACAATGTCCCCAGGTGAGTGCCGCAATCTCCCCAAGTGAGAGCCACGCTCTCCTCAGGTGAGAGCCACGCTCTCCTCGCCCTTCCCCTGCCCCCCGCCCCAGACGTGCCCTTAATGTGATAATTTGGAAGAAAATTGAAGTGTTGGCGGTGGGGCGCTTGCCGTGGCGGGCGGCGACGGGGCCGGTGTCACCATAAACCGCAATTACGTGAGATCCTGATTCTTCCCACGACAGAGGCGGTCCAAGACTGATGGTGATGATGGGTAAGCAGGAAGGGCTGATGATGATAGGAGGAATACAAGAGGTGGCGGAAGTAAGAGAAGCTGCTAGCGTTGCTGAGCATGGCAGATGCGCGGAGAACCTTGCAGCAGCACTTGTGAAGTATGCGTCGCGCAGCCAGAGTCTGGCAGTCTTGTCACCACAACTTTATGGTGAGACCTAAGTGCTGAGAGAGAGAGAGAGAGAGAGAGAGAGAGAGAGAGAGAGAGAGAGAGAGAGAGAGAGAGAGAGAGAGAGAGAGAGACTCTTGATGTTATCTTCCTCAGTCGTGATGTTACCTTCCTCAGTCTTGATGTTATCTTTAACAGTCTTGGTGTTATCTTTAACAGTCTTGATGTTATCTTTCCCCATCTTGATGTTATCTTTCCCAGTCTTGATGTTATCTTTCTGTCTTGATGTTATCTTTTTCAGTCTTGATGTTATCTTTTCCAGTCTTGATGCTATCTTTCCCAGTCTTGATGTTATCTTTCTCAGTCGTGATGTTATCTTCCCCAGTCTTTATGATATTTGCTCCAGTCTTGTTATTTTTTCCGACGGGTAAGCGGCCTAATTAGGGCAGTTAAGGGCGCTTCTCTTCCTGTGCTAAAGCTGCCAGCCACACCGTAATTTCGCTCCTTGCATAAACACATCCTGGGCAGAAATTGTAGCTCAGGCTGCCCTAATTAATATCTACAAGAGTAATTACCATACTTAATAAATTCCCGGCCACCTGGTGTGCTGGGAGGGTGGGGGAGAGGGGTGGTGGGGAGTGGGGAAGGTGGAGGGGAGAGGGTGATTGGGAAGAATGTCCAGGAATCTCTACTGGTGGTGGTGGTGGTGATTGTGGTGGTCGGGTTGTGGTGCGGGAGCAATGGGGGGTGTTTTTCCAGGCAGTAGGGAGGGGAGGAAGGGTATGGGGGAGTAGGGGGGGGTAGGGAGGGGGAAGAGGAAAGAGAGACCAATTACACAATGTAACAATTTATTCCTAGGTAGTAAGTGATATTTTCTCTTGGCTAATGCCCCCAAAGCATAGAAAATGGGCATTTTTTCTCCCCCCCCCCTCAAACTAGGATGGGCCTTTTGCCTGAGAGCTTAGGGAAGACGTT